CCATGCGGTAGGCACTTTTGACTAAGAAACTTCTAACAGCTTATCTAATTGCTAAAATTCAAGAAATATGTGTGTATTTATATTTTTAAATAAATATTTTCTTCTCATAATAGACCCTTTTTATTTTTTCTTTCTCTTCTATATTTGTTTTATCTCCACATAATCAATATTTATTATGTATATATGTATATTTTTATGTTTTCTTTTCACTCTGGCAACCATAAACCGTTTTTTCCGCCCCGAGCCTCGGTCTTCAGCCAAATGTCAATAGTCATATGCGTCACTTGACCTCAGTCGGGGCCCTCGTCAGCTGGCCAACTGTTTAAGCCAATACATCAGCTGCCGGCTGGCGGCTGGCGCCTGCAGCACTCGAGTCGAGTGTCGATTGAGTCATTATGGCAGCTACGTTGTCCACTTAATTCGCGCAGGCCTCAGCGCATTTGCAATCGTGCGCGATTTCAAGGCCTTCCCCAGAGATATATCCCAGGGAATAATTATGAATTTATGCCGTTGAACAGGTACTCAGCTCATTTTAAGCTGCGACTGGAGATGAAGGGCGTAAGTTTGGGCTTGCGGATTGATGGAGGTATTTTAATTTGAGCTGCTAGAAAGAGTCAAGCAGTTACTAAAGAAAACTTGATTGAAGAAACATTGAAGCAAAAAGTTGACTTTAAGCTTTAAGCATGCCCTGGAACCGAGCATCGTCTGGGAATATTAGCAGCTCAGTGGGGACACATGCCAAAATGGCAGCTGTGCGTGCTGGGGCTTAAATCAGAGCTTAAATATTTGATGTGGCCCAACCCCCACGGACCTTCAGTCCCACAACCCTTCAGCCCTTTAGCTTACCTGGGCTGGCAGTAAAACACAATTTCCATTTGCCCTTGACAGAGGCGACGGCCAATCATTAAACATCGCCAGGCATTTGTGCATTATCATCGGGCTTCACTGTTAACGATATGCGAATGGCGAAGACCCATGTGCCAGGGCCATTTGCAAATGGCCAGCAGAAGTGGCTCTAAGCAAGTCGAAGCTGTTTCGAGTGCAAATGCCAGCCAAGTCAGCATATTTGAGAGAGAGTCGCGCACTCTCACATCTTCTGCTGCTGCTGGCAGGAGTCGCACGTGCACATCAAGTCGGGCCAAGTCGAGCCAAAACGGGCCAAGTCGGGCGCCGCCCAGCTGAAATTAGATAAGCAGCATTCAATTTATTTTTATAGATTCAATTTGAATATTTACCTTTTGAGCGACTGTAAAGTCCTCGCCAGAGACGAGCGCCAACTTTGACAGCGCCGGAGCTGAGTGAGTTGGCAACTTTTGGGTCTCCTACTTGATGGGTATGGATGTGTGTGTGGGTGTGGCTGTGGGTGCTGCCGGACTAGTTGGGAATCCGCTTTAAGTGCGTATTAATTTGCAAGTCCAAGTTAAGACAGACCCGGCCAGCCGTACGGGGGCTGGGGTACGCCGAAAAGGATTACTCAAACAAAACGAGCTAATCGCCGACTCTCTCGCATCGAGTTAATCGAAAGGCTTCTCAGTGCCGAAATTCCATTAATGTTGTTTGACTCGGGTCACTGTTTGCATTGGCTCGCTGCTTGTCCTAAATTCCTCAAACATTTAGTCAACGTAAACTAAACCCTAAGCATGCTTGTTGTCCTGGGTATTCGATAGGACCTTACCAGGAACTCTACTGACTGAGCTCAGTTTGCAAGTCTTTGACATCTATCATTATTTTCAGAGGTTTTTTTTTAAAGATTTATGAAAATCAGCAGAAAGTTGCTTAAATAAATTTGAAGTACTTGAAATAAGCTAAAGTGAGAGTTGAAGATTTAATAATCAAATTTCAGTTTTGGCTTTCCCTAAGATCTTCAATGTTCTGTAGCAGATTCTGAAGGCAGGTTTTATAACACGTTCCAATAAAAATTTGTTCAGGGTTTGTGTTTTTTATTTATTAATTTTTTTTTTTTTTTTTTCAAATAATTTTTAT